CCAAGGACACAGAGAAATCCAATTCAACCAGACAAGGGGTGTTCGCCTGTTCATTATCATTGTAGCGAAAAAAAAAAAAATTTAAATCAATTAATTTATAATATTAATGCTCTGTTAATTTACATTGAGCACTATTTTGTTAAAATAAAAAATATCTATAAGAACACCGGGTTTTATATCTTACTATTCTTTCTTTTTTTATTCACACACACACACACACACATATATATATATATATATATATATATATATATATATATATATATATATATATATATATATATATATATATATATAAAAAATTGTATCGGATATTCTCTCTTGCACTTTATAAATGAAATCCAGGGCAATCAACGGCAATTCAAATGGTTTTATTTCTACTACTCTATATATGTCCGCTTACTTCTTGTATATTGTACATTGCCATCAGTTCATCAATACCTTCATCTCTTCAAATATACCGTACTGTGATAACCATAGAAATATTCCAAGGCAATTTTAAGTATAAGTGCTTTTACAAGTAATTTAAATATCTATCAGTCAATAATTCCACAAACTACATAAGAAAAATAAATGAACAAATAACTAAAAATGATATGTTTTCGTATAAATGTGAAATTAAGTATATCAAATTTCTTCATTCGTATTTTAAATGGAAGTAGGAAAAAGTCATATCTGTAATGCTGAGACGCTGAAGGTAAATGTCTTCATTTTACCTTCTGAAGAGAAATTTAAGAAGATTCGGCATACCGGAAAAGCAATTCAGAATAAAATACAAGAAAATAATTATTGACGCAGACAAATAATTTGACAGAATGAAGCTTCAAAAAGTACTGAATTGGATGAGTTTTCTAAATTAAATACATATATATATATATGTATGTATGTATATATATTTCATTGCGTTCGAAGTTTTGCAGGAATTTTTCTTCGTTTTAGTGTTGTGACATTTATTTTCTTTGATATTCTTTTCAGCCTTATTTTAACTCTTCTTAAATTGTCATTTCAGAGCGCAAATTTGTCGAGTAGAAGGAATCCTTAGAACATCACTTATTGTGTGGTTCAGATTGCAATTACTCGCATGCATGTAGGTATTCAGTGTTTACGAAGAAGTGATTGGAAAAATAATCCGAAACGCAGAGAAGATGAGTTAGAATGACATTAGGAATCAGGAACACTTCTTTGACATCGCTTGGAACAGCTTTTATAGAAAACCTATTCTAATAACGTAAACACTCGTACATATACACACAAGCTTGATAATTGCAGTTTAGCTTCCAAGGTTAGTTTTTTCTCTCTCTTTCTCTCTCTTTCATTCTCTCTCTCATATATATATATATATATATATATATATATATATATATATATATATATATATATATATATATATATATATATAAATGTTGTTTATGCGCAAATCTAAAATTATTTTGATATTTATTTAGATTTTTTATACATTATTGGGGTTAACCAAACATAATTTAAAATTTAATCCAAAGCTTATTCTTTGTACATTTCCAGAGATTTCTTTTTTTGTGATTACATTATTATTAGTAGTAGTAGTAGTAGTATTAGTAGTAGTAGTAGTACCGGAATCAAGAGAAGAGCACGATTTAAGTAAAGAAAAACACTGGCTATGACAATGTTAAAAATATTTTCCCCAGTATGTCTTCTCCAAGTTATTTTTTGAAAATTCTAATTATAAAAATATATGACTCTACCATCAATTTAAATCTTTGTGCAAACGTTGCCTGTCTTGTAATGAAAAAAAAACAGCTCTTCCTGTAATGAACGTGTGAAAAACGAATGAAAATTTATTATTATTAGTAGTAATAGTATTAGTATTATTGTTTCCTTTGATTTCAGAACGAGTTAAATATTTTTTATTATTATTATTTTTATTTTCTTTGATTTCTGGCGTTTACACATTTCTTTCCGGGTCCATCCCAGAGACCTAAATTTAGAAATGGTATCATGTCACTTTCCACTGACACCCCCCGCCAAAAAAAAAATCCCATAGTTAAATTCGCTTAATTTCAGCTATGATCCAGTTAAGGACATTAAAGCTGTATTGCACCACAGTGACAGCCAATGTGTTTATGGCTGATATTCTGTTTTTTTTTAGTTTAGCTCAGTATTTAGTATCTGACGTACACGCCTGTAGTACTCTTTTTATTATTATTATTATTATTATTATTATTATCATTATTATTATTATTATTTCATTCATTGTTATCATTGGAATAATACATTTTATCCAATTACTTCAGAAATCTGAGTTGTTTTACTTAAAATATCCTGCGAATGTACATTTTGTAAGGTCATAAGATTTGATGGAGTACACGATAATTCAGAAATACGATGAAAATGATAAAGTTTATAATAATAATGATAATAATAATAATGAAAATATTAATAGCTAAGAGGAGAGTTTGCTTAAAGAAATATGAAAGAGATAAAAAACATAGTGTTTGACAATGTTAAACAATATTTCGACTGTATATCTGTCTTCAAGTTACTAATTTTTTTTAATTTCAAGCATAAAAATATATAAATCTACCAAAAATTATCAGTCTTTGTACAAACGTTGCTTTTCATATAATGAAAACATGGCTGTTCTTGTAATGAACGTGTTAA